AGTGAATCTGGATTCACAGTAGTGAATCTGCATTCACTAGAGTGAATCTGCTTTCACTGGAGTGAATCTGCTTTCACTATAGTGAATCCCGCTTCAATTTAGTAAATGCAGATTCATGTATTACTGTATTCCGCCAGTAAATGTTTAAAGTACATACAAAAGGTGGGAAAACATACTAAACCCTCAGGACGATCTTGGTATTTTTCCTTGTAGTCTGGGCAGTTTTTGCTATTGTCAATCAGCTCCATACTTGGATTCTTTAGCCCATAGCACACAATGTAGAAATGCTCAAACGCATTTATGGGGAAGAAGACCTAATGGTTGTGGAATTTAATCAGAGATTTAACAGATATAGTTAAAATTGGGCTAAAGAAGAAAAATATTATCTTCGAATCTTTACCATATCAATCTCATTAAACTTCATATGTGGATACAGAGCAAGTTGCTCATCCATCCGGGAAGCAAAACGACTGTATCTCAATTCATCATTGGCCTCATCTGTGTGATGAATGTTGCAAAACTGTACAACATAAAACTTGTTAAATAAGATGTAACTGAATTGTTATTTTAAAAAGAATAAAGGAAGATACTTACGGTTGTCTCAACATTGCAGAAGAATCTAAGAGGAGAATTTTCCGACTTCATTTTTTCTCTGTTGTTCAAAATATTGGACCAAATGCTGATTAAATTTGCCTCAATGTCCTCATCAGGAAGGAAAGTCTTGAAAGCCAGTAAGAAACATTCAATTTGTCTCCACTTAAAAACCACTTCACTGAAAAAACAGTAACAATATTCAATTTAATAAAGGGAGTAAATACTAAAAACAGTGAGTCTGACACATAAAAATAAAATAGATTCATAAGATTTAAGAACTCACAAATCCTCTTCTTCATCAGAATCATCAGCTGAATGCCTTGCTTTTTCTCTATGTACCCAATTCCATATGATGCTTTCCAGCTGACTTTGCCTAGCAGTAATCTGAGATACCCTCTGCACCCATGGTGACCGAAGAGACGTTGCAGGCTTCACCATCCTCTTTTCTTTCCTCCTTCCCGCATCTCCCTTATTTTCGGTCACCTCAACTTTCTTATGTTTACATTCATCTACTGCAGCAGCATCTTCAACTTGTTTATCAGTTCTTTTTACAGGGTCATCAGTGACTTCAGATTCAACTTGTTTAGCAACCTGAACAATATCTACCATTTCCACTGTCTCATTCTCAGTATCCTGTGTTAGGCCAAGAGAAAAACTAGGTTCTTCAGTCTGTGGGGTACCACATTCGCTGAGCTTCCGCTTCACTGGTCTTTCATCCTTTTTCTTGCTAACAGTCTCTATAATCTTATCAACTTCTTGAATAAAATTTGGGGAGACTTGGGTTTGTGGTATCTCAGCTGATGTTGGATCAACAGCAGGGGAAGCATGCATATCTCTACTCACATTTGTGTTCATGTTAGGTGTATCATCAACAATGTTTCTCTCAGCTGTTTCATCGTTACAGGTACTTACACGATGTCCACACCCCTGCACAAGAACATTTGAAACTCTTTGTTGAATTTGCAAGAGCTCATTATCATTGGGGAACAGCTTTCTCATTGTCTCACACTCAGCATCATATCTTTCTTTTGCAGATTCCAACTCTGCAGCTCTCCGTTGAACCCTATCAATACAATCCTGTAGTTTGAAAATCACAGACATTGGTCACCATAAATTATTAACATGGTTTGAGACAAGTTTGAATAGATTGAGATTACAATCAATGTATTTGTATCATGATTCAAATTGACTGAATCCATAGTCGACTAAAATAGTTTCAGTTTGACTATGGTGAATCGAGATTCAGTCGTAGTGAATCGCGATTCAGTCGTAGTGAATCGCGATTCACTACAGTAAATTGATATTGAATTTCATTCAATCGACATTCACTCCTACTGAATCGCGATTCACTACAATAAATTGAAATTAAGTTTAAGTGAATAGAGATTCACTCCTACTGTATTGTGATTAAATTGAATAAACAATTTTAGTCGAGTCGATTATCGAGATTCAGTCGTAGTGAATCGCGATTCACTACAGTAAATTGATTTTGAATTTCATTCAATCGACATTCACTCCTACTGAATCGCGACACCAATAAATTGAAATTCAGTTTAAGTGAATAGAGATTCACTCCTACTGTATTTGAGATTAAATTGAATAAACAAAGACTTGCAACTTAATTGGCTAACCTTTCTAATTGTATCAACACTTTTAGGTGAGTTTCCAGTAGGAAGAGATGAAGGTGCAAGTTCAACCCTCTCTGTAATTGCACCTTTGCCAAATGAATTTGTACTAATTTCCTCTGACTGTCTTTCCTTCAAGGCCCAGTCAGTCCAGCCTATAAAAGTAGGGGTTGTTCTCTCAACCAATCTTCTCCCTTTGAACAGAACCCGATCGGCATAGAACAGCTAGAAAGACGGAGATAAGAAATTAAGCATACCAATTAGTAATTATCAAGTAAAACTACTTTAACTACAGTAATGTAAAAATAAATCAATATTATAAAATTGACTTACAATCAAGAATACAAGAGGACCAGTGTAGAATTGTTTTGTCGGGTCAACCTTCCACTTGTGTTGGCTTTCTATCATAGAGTCAATCAAAAAAGAACACCAATTGTATGAACAGCACTGATCAACATTTTCACCAAGTACTAGAATCCGTTGGTTGACATACGGATTGCTAAACGACTGGATCATGATGTTGTGAACGAGAACCAAGAAATTCAGTTTGAAAAAAAGGTTAACATCAGAAGTCTGCTTCAGTTTGTCAGCCACAGCCCCTGGAGTAATTTTCCAACCATATCTGTCTTTGAATTGATCCCTCCAAGCATCTACCAATGATGACTTCCCAGTACTGGAGTCTGGTATAACCTTCATGCCAAGAGGTAATCCCATAACTTGATGTACATCTTCCTCTGTGATACTTATTGATCCTCTGGGAAGATTAAGCGCAACGGATTCACTGTCAAACGATTGCAGAATCTGGTACCCCAACATATGAGGCAGTTCCTTTAATCCAAAATTTAAAAGACCTCCAAAACCAGCTAGTCTAACCCATTCTTTCTGTGAGTCAGAGAGTGTCAAAACCATATCAGAGAATATCTTTGGAGAGACACGTATCCTAGTCAACTCCTTAGGTTCAGCTCTCACATTTTTTTTTAAACAAATTCTACAGTGAGAAAAAAAAACATAATTAGATCGAATTATCCATCAGTTAATACCAAAAAAAAATAAAGATGTTTAGTACACCAACCTTTTTCATCTTCTTCCTTTCTTTTGTGGTTTGTTCATTTTCTTCATCCCTCCTACGCTTTGAGGTTTCCTCGCCGGCAGGATTATTTGGTGGTTCGACGTAGTCATCGTCACTGTTGTAGCTCACATATTTTCTTTTCACAACCTTCTTCAGTAAGAAATATAATATAATTAGATGAAATTATCCATCATTGAATACACAAATAAATTTAAAGATATTTATTACAGCAATATGTTTACTTTAGTGAATCTTGATTCAATGAAGTGAATCAACATTCACTTAAGTGAATCGAGATGTTTAGTACACCAACCCTTTTCTTCTTCATCCTTAATGTGGTCTGTTCATTTTCTTCATCCCTTGTACGCATTGATGTTTCCTCACCGGCAGGATTATTTGGTGGGTTGATGAAGTCATCGTCTACAATCCCAACACCTGCTTTTTGTTTGTGCTTTGATCTAGATCGTAGACCTGCTAAACAGATGACAATTGATTTTTTACTGAGCCCAGTCTTTGAATAATGCATGGTGTCAACTGAATCGCGATTCACTCAACTGAATCGTGTATATTCATCCAACTGAATCGAGTATATATGATTGAGCTTGTATTGTGTGAATCGCGATTTAAAGTACCAATACAAAGAAATACAGTAAAAATTTAAAACCCTCACTTTCCTAACTGAATCGAGTAGATTCACACAATGAATCGTGATTTACAAAACTGAATCGAGTCGATTCACCCAGTGAATCGCGATTCACTCAACTGAATCGTGTAGATTCACCCAGTGAATCTCGATCCACTCAACTGAATCGTGATTTACAAAACTGAATCGTGATTTACAAAACTGAATCGAGTTGATTTACCCAGTGAATCGCGATTCACTCAACTGAATCGAATAGATTCAACTATTGAATCTCAATCCACTCAACTGAATCGAGTAGATTCAACTAGAGTGCATATTGCATAATCCAGACCACCAATATTTACCACTATCCATTTAGAACAAATGAAAACATCTTACAATATAAAAAAAACTTGACTTATTCTAACAAGATCAAAGAAAATGAAAAAAATTTAAAACCCTAAAATAGAACATGCATCGATAACATTTATTCATGTCGAAAAGTATTCAACAACATGCAAGTTAATTATGTCGAAATTCCGAACCTTTACTCACTGAATCTATGAAAAATATTCAAACTTTGATAAAAAATATAAATTTTTAATACAAGGGTTTGAAATGTTTTACCCCTTCTTGAAGACGAGGGTTTTGGAGTGTCGGAGTTGCTTTTCTTCATCTCTATCGTCGAAGTCTTGCTTTTCGTCTTCGTTCTTGTTGTAATGAGATGTTCGAAGAAACCTAAGTGTGGAGAAATCGACGGAATGTGAAGAGTTTAGTTGTTCGCGTAGAGAGAAGATGAAACTGTATTCAAAATAGTAGAACTGAATCGATTTTTCGCGGAAAAAAGTGTCCGCCGTATATATATATATATGATATAATATGATAAATTAAATTATTAAGTTTTCTATTAGGTACCTCAGTTTTTATAAATTGTTTCAAATTAATCTATCCACACGAGAATGGCATATTAACAGTAGAGATCGGGGTACCTAACAGCAATGTCAATGATTTGAGGGTCTTATTCCAAATTAATCGCTCATTTTCCTCGCATGTCGTCTCTTTTGGACTCCATCCGAATCCACACTAAAAAACCTAACCCTGTGCCCCCCCTTTTAACCCCCGCTCGCTCGCTCGCTCTCTCTCTCTCTAAACCCCCTCCCTCTCTCTTTCTCTCCCTAGATTCTTTATTTATTCTCACTCTCAGTACTAAGAAGAGGAAGCAGCAACAAGAGAGAAGCCCTAGTCTTCGTACAAAGGTATGCTTCGAACCACTTCTAGGGTTTCTAAGGTTTCTAGGGTTTTGGAGAAATTTGTTCTTTTTGGGGGAAAATGAGACCCATGAGATCAAATGATCTGTTGTTGACAGTCTAGTGCGAAAAATCTACTCTTTGAGCGGAAACTGTGGTTTTTATTGCTTAAGGGGGAGATTTTTATGCCCAAATGTGGGAACTTAGAAACCCTAATGTAGGAACTTTATTATTCAGTCAGTGTTTGGTGCATTTTGTTTTGAAGGGAATAAGGTAAAACCCTAAATTTAGGTTCTTGGACAAAGTTTTCTGAAAAATAGTCGTTAGAGGACTTATTTTATTTTATTTTTAAACCGCACTTTCGCACGGAAAATATGGCATATTTGCTTGCAGTCAGCATTTTCCATAAATATTTACATCCGTATACTGAATTCTCTTTGTTTTATTTATCTATTTCTTGTTAATAACTGTAGATACTGAGACGCATGGAACGCATCCTTGGCCTAGAAAATCAATATTAAGTTCTGTCATCTGCAATTTATGTTCTCCATTTCAGATTCCTTTTATATTTCCTCTATTTTACGAGTTGAATGTTCTACCATTCACTATATTGGCAATCTTCTTTGTCAAATTAGCAACCGCCCTACAATTAAATTTTTTATCTTAATTCCTATTAATTGAAATGGTGCTGTCAATCACTCTCTATTTCACATGTTCAAATCATCCAAAATTATTTCCCTAACTTTATCCTTGACTTAAGCTTTTTTAGCTTCTGGACATATCATCACATATCCTTTTCCTTAACATGATGTTTCCAATCCTACCATGTTACTTCTAAAAATTGAAACTTCACTTGGTGGATTATGTATGAATTATTTT